GGCCCTCTAAGGGCTGTAGCACCAAGATGATGATGATGATGAAGCTGTACACGTGGAAATCCCCTCAAGACAGACCCGGGAGAATTATTAGAAATCAAATAGACTACATTTTAGTAAATAAAAGATTCCAAAACAGCTTTACATCTGTCAAGACTTATCTTGGAGCAGACTTGGAGACAGACCACGTTACACTGGTGGGAGTATTGCGAGTCAAACTCAAAACAGTGCAGAAAAGGAAAGCACAATCATACGACCTACGTATGCTGAAAGACCTTGATACGAGGATGAGAGTCCAAACCACGTTAAACGAGCAAGTCACTGCAATTAGAGACGAATCGAACGAAGAACAAACGATTAAAGACAGATAAATTAATGAAGAAAAAATCATGGATGACAGATGAGATCCTGAAACTAATGGTCAAGAGAAGAGAAGCCAAAAATGACCTAGACAAATATAAAACCATAAATATATTAATAAGAACGAAAATCAGAGAAGCGAAAGAAAAAGAAGCAAGGTAAAGATGCGAAGAAATTGAGACAGCAGTCAAAGTACGATCACGATGTACATAGGAAAGTTAAAGAACTTACGGGGGGATTAAGACGAAGGCAAAAAGGAAATATAACTGATTTTGATGGAAATTTCATCAAGAACCAAGAATATCACAGCAGGAAGTTTATACCGCAATAACACAGTTAAAGGATGGCAAAGCAGGCCCTGATAACATACAAGCAGAACTACTCAAACTAATGGACAACGAATCAATAGCAATAATCGCAAAGATATTCAACAACATATACAACTCTGGAGAAATACCAATAGAATGGCTGAAATCTGAGTTTATTGCACTTCCAAAAAAACCAGGAGCCAAAAAATGCGAAGATTACCGTACTATAAGCCTCATGAGTTATCTCCTAAAATTGTTCCTAAAGATAATTCATAAGAGAATCTACAAGCTGTGTGAAAGTCAAATTTCCTCCAACCAGTTCGGGTTCACAAATGCTGTTGGTACTAGAGAGGTTCTCTCAGTACAAGTCTTATTACAGTAAAGACGACAAGAGACAATTCCCCAATAGGAAGACGATCAGTAGGAAGACTACGAAAACGATGGAACGACAACTTACTGGAGGCACATTAAAAAACAGAGTCATGTCTATATAAACACAAGAAGAAAAAAAAATTTGTTTAAAATCCTTTATAAAAGGTATATAAAAATGCCCCAAACGGGCTATCACAAACACATTGCAAAACGTTTTCGGATTAAACAATCCATCATCAGTGCAAACGGTTGTACATGCTAGTAGCCACCAAAATATATGGGTAAAAACCCTTTAAATGTTTAAACTTTGAAGTTGTTTTACATTATTAGTATTTATAATTTGTGATGGTTAAGTTACCGTTGGATAGGTAACATGGCGGCGTATGACTCTACATGAGTAAAATGGTCCTGAGACGAAGTGTCTACGAGGACCTGTTGATAACAACTCAACGTAGACACTTCGTCTCGTAGACACTTCGTCTCAGGACCATTTTACTCATGTAGAGTCATACGCCGCCATGTTACCTATCCAACGGTAACTTAACCATCACAAATTATAAATACTAATAATGTAAAACAACTTCAAATTTAAACATTTAAAGGGTTTTTACCCATATATTTTGGTGGCTACTAGCATGTACAACCGTTTGCACTGATGATGGATTGTTTAATCCGAAAACGTTTTGCAATGTGTTTGTGATAGCCCGTTTGGGCATTTTTATATACCTTTTATAAAGGATTTTAAACAAAATTTTTTTGTGATATATGGTATACAGCCAGCTACAGGAACTTAGTTTCCTCGTGGAAGAAGAAAAATATTAATAAAATGAATATTTTCTATTGTATAACAAACTCGGCTGTAATTTAGCACGTTTACTAAAACTAATAAAAATTAGTTCTAAATAAGCAATACAGTCGAATGTTAATTAATGATAAATATTTTCTTCTATATTTTGTTAAAACTTTGCTAAAGTTTTTTTAAATAATTTCAATAAACTGTATACATATAATAAATACCTGTTAACTGCTTCGGCCCAACGGACATTTTCACTTGCCAGTCCACCTACTAATCTGTTAGCTAATTGAATAGTTGCGTTAGTAGCGTCAGCTTCTTGTTGACAAAGTAGTTTTTCTCGAGTAGCTGTTTCAAAATCTGCTGTTAATTTAGCTAGTTGTTCTTCTAGTGACTATAAGAGGATATACATACATCAATTTGAAACTATGATACCAAACAATATACTTAGGCAAGATAATGTTGCACACAGGCAATCTATTCAACTTTCTATCTGACAGCATAATTCAAAGCGAATGAAACAACGTGTTAATGATTTAAATCTATGAAAAAGGAGACCCTATGGAAGTGAAGACTATAGACCTATTATAAGCCTCCTCTCCTACTCGTATAAAACTTTTTACCAAAGTAGTCACCCGCAGAGTAGGAAAGAAACTGAACTTCTATCCACCAATAGAACAAGCTGGTTTTCGCTTAGGTTTCGCTACCAGTGATCATTTATAGTATACTAGTATTAGTTTTTGTTAATTTCCAAAAAGTTTTTGATACCATAGAATCAATCGGAATAAAATCAGAGCTTTAACCAGTGTTGGGTGGATTACAGATACACCCGATTAGTTTATAACATCTATAAAATATCACGGTCAAATGTGCAACTCCATAAAGAAACTAACGAGCTCTCATTGGAGAATTAATTACTATTAAACTGGGAATAAGCCACAATTAAAGATAAAAATACGTTTATTGACGTTTCAATTTCCACTTCGGAAATCGTTCTCAAAATACAAACAGTAAATTAAACAAATTTTGTTTTTTGTTACATAGTGAAAAATTCTTCTAATAATTTAATTTTATCTGAGTCATTTATATTGACAATTCAGACATACATTATGCATTTTAAAGTAGACGACTTTAAAATGATATTGCCAATATTGTTGAGTTGCGCTCCTGGGACGACTTTACTTATAAGATAGTTCATTCGATTACATGAAATCAACTTTAACTTGAGAATATCCGTCAGAAAAAAATCATAGCATGTAATTCGTCTTTAAAAAGACAAACACATGACATGATGGCAGTAAAATTCTCCTGTTAGTGATTCCATAGTAAATTATGAGGGAAAAACCAGGAAAAAAACCTCATAATACTATCCCGACATTGTAAGTATTTGTTCGTGAATTTAGTTTACCTTCAACAAACATCAAAATTCTGATTTTATATGTTACGTTATTTAAAAAACATAAATGATGTATCCTCTATATGTTACTGACTTATTAATACTGGTATTTTCTTATTAATAACTTCCTCTTTCAATATTGGTAACCAGATTATCCCATGCGTGTTTACAGATTTGAGATCTATCAAATTCTCTATTTTTAATATAGGATTGATGTTCACTTATTCTAACATTTAATGGCCTTGATGATTCACCTAAATAAAACTGATCGCATTCACAAGGTATTTTATAAATGCAATTCTTTGTCCTTTCTTGTTCATTGTTAGGTTTGGTTTTGGACAAAATAGATCTCAACGTGTTTGTTGTTTCTCATTGGAGAAAGGTGATAAATAATGGGGCACGATACATCCAATCTCTTTACAGCAATTATGGAGTAGGTATGTTTATCTCTGAATAATAAATCTTTAATTACATTTTTAAAATAAATTTTTTGTGATACACGATATACAGCCAACTACAAGGATTAAGTTTCCTTGAGGATTTTTGATCTTTAATACTTTAATAATCTTTAATGTTTTGTTAATACATCGATATGTTGGATTGTTCAAGTTGGTGTAATACTTACTGCGACTTTCTTTTTAATAGAATTGAGTTTGTCCTGGGCAGCTGCAAGTTCGAGATTGGCAGCAGCCAGAGCTTTCCTTTTGGGTTCAACATCGCAAAATACTTCAAAGAACTTTATTATATTTATTACCCAAGCACACAAACCCGCAGCTGCTGCTGACTTGGACCTATGTATAAAAATAAACACAATAAAGAATAGAAAAATCAAGTATTACTTAAATAATAATTCGAAATCAATTTCATATATTTTTTTAATGAATATCTTTCAGTTTAGTATGCTTCAGTAATTTGTTGTTAAAGTACCGAGCGAACCAAGATCTTTTAAAGTTAATAACTAAATATTTAAAAGTAAAAATTATAGAGGTATAGCACTTTTAGACGTAGTCTATAGAATACTTGCAAAAATTATTAGGAAAAGATTGATAACATATGATAACAAAGTGATTAGAGAATACCAGGCAGGTTTTAGAACAACTACTGATCAAATATGTATAATATGTTAAAATTAATACAAATTAATAGCTACCAACAAAACTGATGCTGTTTATCGATTTTAAACAAGCATACGACTCTCCAAATCGAACGATATGAGGCCATGAGAACATCAGAGATACCAGAAAAGCTTATAAGGCTAGTGAGAATGATGCTTAAGAACACGATGAGTAGGGTAACAATGGAAGGAAGCTTTTCAAGACAGTTGAATAGAGGATTAAAACAAGGGGATACGAGATCAACGAATTTATTTAACCAATATTAAAAGTATATTATTTAACCTAGTAAGAAGATCAAATATAAGCACAAAATGGAATATTTTCAATAGCAGGGAACAGGGCATAGCGTACGCGGATGATGTGGTGATACTAGCGAGAAAAAAAAAACATTTAGAAAAAGTTTTCCAGAAATTTGAAGAAGAAGTGAAAAGATTATACTAACCCAAACAAAAACGCAATAAGTATATGAAAATGAGGAGACACATAACAAATAATAACAATTATATCAAAATGAAATAAGCAGAGACTGTCTATAGTTTTGAAAAAGTGTTAGAATTTGTATACGTTGTTATTGCACAAAAACAAAACTATAGTAATCACCTTACAAATTCTGGTTCGAATTCTGCATCTTTAAGATACGGCTCAATTGCTTTTGTAACCTCAGGGTGAATATTCTCTTTGTCATAATTAATAAGAGAATCAAGGAAAGTATCTACTTTCGCCATCATCAGTTTAGCAGATTTCCAACTTCTATCCTTAGGAACTTTACCACCAGGTGACAAAAGTACCATTACAGCAGCAGTAACGTTGGTTACAGCTCCTAAAATATTAATATTTGATTAAATATTTATCATTTCTAGTACTAAGCTATTAATTCTAAAGACACAATTTAAGGATTTTTTCAAGAAGATTTAATTTTAAATATTATTCAAACTGTTATAAATACTCAGCTAATTCAATGGTTTTATGGTTAAAGAAAAAAAATGAAGAAATATGTCTAAATATACAATAATATTTGACTGCAATTCTTATAATTTTAGGATATGGATTCATTAGTAAATCGTTTTTTAACTTACTTTGTATTTTATGATAGAAAACATACCTGGAGGAGAACCAAACGACTTTAACTCAGTTAAATTTGCTTTATTCAACGTATTTAAAGCCTCTTGGGCAGCTAGTAAAGCTGGTTCTGCTTTTAGTAGATCTTCCTCGCAGTCTTTTTGTTTTTTACTAACTTCTTCCGCTATAACTGCAACCCTTTCTTCTTCTTCGTCTGCCAAATTCTTTTCTATGGAAACCTTCTCTGTTTCCACACCAACTATTTCAATTAATCTATCGGCAGCTTCATTTTTTTCTTTGAGTTCGATCTCCTGTATTGCTAGTTTTTTCTTTAATTCGTCAACTTGAACAGATGTGCTTCTAAGCTTATCTAAACCATTCTCCAATCTTAGTACTTTCTGTCTAAGTTCTTCTGATTTTTGACGTAATAATTTAGAATATAGGTTGATTTGTTCTAAATAAGATTTAGGTGTTGTATAATTGTATCTTCTTTCGTTTTGCAGAAATACTTTTGAAATTGCATTTACAGAAGTATGCGCATAGGCCATAAAACGGGCTGAAGAGTCATACAAATCGACCTACAAGTAAAGATTGATGTAAAATTAATAAACATTAATATTAAATCATATATCTAATAACTATAGACAATTCTCTAAATACAATTTTTTCTATACATTTTCTTGCACTTGTTGATTATATTTCTCATATATTTGGTCCTGGTCTCATTGATAATGAACTACCTAAGTCTGACACAATGGGCGGGGTTTTAAAAATCTTTCCAAAAATTTCTAATTGATGTGTATTTGTTCCATAAGAAGTGGGAAATATTGTTTTTTTAATTGTTTGAAGAATAAATAAGGACTTTTGGTTATGAACATTCATTCTGTGAGATTGGTATTATTTGTTATTGATGAATTTGTGAAGTAAGAATATTCAAGTATTAAGACATTTACTATTAAGGTTCATATTTAAAGGTTATGTTATTGTTTGGTTAAAACTTAAACTACTTTTTTTTTACTGTATTTCAAGGTATTTTGTTGTTTTTATCAGGGACATTTCAAAATACATTAATTAATGATTGAATTTATTTACAAAGTTAAAAAATATTTAAATTAATGTTTTATTCTTTTTTTCTTACCAGTGATTTTATCCTGTATATATAAAGATATTCGTTTTCTAGTAGTTTAAGTTATAATACAATTCTGTGAAAGCCTTTTTATCAAATTGCCATAATGAGTGTTTAAAAAAATGTTTTTTGAATGTGGTAATAGTTTTTAAGTTTATTTTTTAGATCTGGGCACATAATGGCTAGCAAAAGTGTGTTAAAGATATCCAGTATTAATGAATCTTTCAGTAATGAGAACAAAACTACTATTAACTATTTAAACTAGGACAAAACCAATATATTTAGTCTTTTAGGGGATAAAATCACTAGCACCTAATCTAGCGCTGAGATCTCAAAATTGAGATCTCAGCAAAATGCAGGTTGTTGTTACAAAAATCTTTGACAGTTTTGAATTTGAAGCAAAATATAAAAAAACATGTAAAAAACGAAGAAAAACTTTGAAATTACGATATAGTGGGTATACAAGCGTACAACAACGTTTTTAAAATTACATAGGAACATCGAAATTCAATGTTTAAAAATGTTTCATCATCAGTGGCATTACAGCTCGTTATGAGCCAAAGCCTTCTTCAGAACAATCTTCCATTCGCCCTGTCTCTGGCAACTCTTCTCCATGCTTTAACTCCGATGGATTTTAGATCATTCTATTATCTTGATAGCTAAGTTTTAGTCTTCCTCTGGATCGTCTTCCCACTGGTCCTCTTCGGTCGAAAATTTTTCTGATCGTTGCATCTTCATCTCGCCTAATTACATGTCCTATCCATCGAAGGTGTGCTAATTTAATAAATTTTACAACGTCAGGTTCCCCAAAACTTCTGTATAATTCAAAGTTGTAGCGCCTACGCCACAAATCCTGTTCTTGGACTCCTCCATATATTTTCCTTAGAATTTTTCTCTCGAAACGTCTAAGCAGTTCTTTGTCGTTCTGCGTGAGTGACCACGTTTCTGACGCGTATGTTAACACTGGCCTTATTAGTGTTTTATATATGGTAATTTTAATTTTTCTGGGTAGTTTTGGGGCCATAATAGCACTTATTGGCAAGCACTGTTCTTCTTTTAATTTATTCGCTGACATTGTTGTCTTTGGTCAGCAAAGTTGGAAGGCCACACCTTCCAGTTACAGATCATCAATTAATAATCTAGGTATCTGGTTGCCTGATCTAGGATAATACATATACTTAGTTTTCTGTGCGTTTATTTTTAATCCCATTCTCAGTGCAGACGCCCTTAATGATCGAAATGCTTCGATCAGAGATTTCGTGGCCTAGCAATAATGTCTATGTCATCTGCATATCCGACCATTTGTACAGTTTAAAAATGTTTGGGAAACGAAATTTTGGGATTAGAGAACAATTGTGACAGGCAGTCTTATATTAATAGAATCGCCACAAGAATCGATAAACCCTAAAGATGGTGCATTCAAGAAAAACATTTCATTAAGGTATTTCTTATCTGCGAAGGAAAGTAGACTAAGATTACAAGCCTATAAACAAATTTGTATCTCTACATTAGGTATTGAATAACGGCAACTGGCAACGGTTTCTGCAAAATACAATATTCAGCCATGTAATGAAGAAGTAATAATTCTTCTTCTTAAGGTGCCGTGCATTTCTGTGTAGGCGTCTACCGTACATCGTCTTGTCAGGTGAGATGTTAAATATTCAGAATTAAATAATTCTGTTTTTAGCAGCATTGCGAAGCATTTCGTAGCTGTGGATTCCTGTCCATTGTCGAATATTGCGCAGCCATGCAGGCTCCATCAACTGACCTTTTCACATTTCTCAAAAGAGGTCAGAAGTAAGTATAACTAAAAAAAATGTAACAGAATTTCTCGACAGCTTCTTCACAAAAACTGTATTTGAAAACAGTGTGGGAAAGTCAGGTTCATCTATTTAAATAATATTTGATTTAGAGTACCATAATGTGAAGATTTGCCATAAATTAAATGTTGTACTGTTTTCTCTGCAAAGTCATTATTATGACCAATGCAGTATATTTAAATATGGCATCTTTCCACAGATAGTCTACGATATTCATACCAATAAAATAACAGAGCCCGAACAGAGAAAGATGATGGTAAAAATAAATATGACGATACTACCTAAGGCTTTACAGTAGAAGTCTAAGCTGTTTTGTTACCACCAAGATTACAAGTTTTATGTACATATTACAGAACAATATTTAAGGATTATAATAATGTATAATGTAAAAGCAAAGAAAGCCAAATATTTTTAGCCAAAGAGTAACGGTGGTTTAGACAGTAATAATTATATTTTAGAATGAATGCATTAGATTTTATTAATGTTTTTGTATTCATTTTGGTTTCATCATTTTGAAGCTGAAGCAAATAAATGTAGGTATAGAACGATGGATGTGGGTATCAGAGTCGATATGTTAACATAGCACTTTTACACATAGCAATTCACAAGTAGGTTCAAATACAATAAAAGTATCTGTTGATCGGTTATACGAAAATGGACGTAATTGTATTCACAGTTTCATAGAAATTAGGTTGCCCACGGTTGAGATATTTTTGTATCTGAAAATTATGTTAATTTTATAACATCTACTAGACAAATCCTAAAACCCTAAAATGTTGTTTATCATAGTTATTAAAGTTCAGAACTGTTGTAGAAATATATACCAGCATTAAACCAGTATGTATTAGTGATCTCCTGGGAGTTCGCAAAGACCTAGTGGAACGTGTAAAAAATTTAAAACTTATTTTGGCATGGAGTGGGCAAATTTGCCTAAAAGACCTAAGCAATTAAACATCTCAACAAGAAAAACACTCTTATAATCAAGCATCATTACCAATATAAACTTCAAAATGTGTTCTTCTTCTTCTTTCAGTATCCTGTCCGGTTATCGAACGTTGGCGATCATATTGGCAATAATAACTTTGTTTACGGTGGCTCTAAATAAATTAGCGGTGGTCTCTTGATACCATTCTCGGATATAACGGAGCCAGGATGTTCTTCGTCGGCTTGGGCCTCTCCTTCCGGCGATCTTACCCTGTATTATGAGGTGTAGAAGGTTATACCTGTCTGAATGTCTCATTACATGACCGAAATATTGTAACTTTCGAATTTTTATCGTTTTTGTTATTTCTGTGCTCTTTTTCATTCGATGTAAAACTATTTCATTTCTTATTCGATCAACCCACTTATCCGCAATACTCGTCCATAAATCCACATCACAAAGGCCTCTAATTTTTTCATTAATGTCTCTGTAAGGATCCAGCTCTCCATACCATACAGCAATGTGGAGAATATGTAGCAGCGTATTAATCTGATTTTAAGATTTAACGTAATATCTCTATTAATTCGAATTTTCTTTAATTTATAGAAGACGGCTCTGGCTTTTTCAATGCGTATTTTTATTTCTTTATGTATATCCCAGTTATCGTTAACGTTTGCACCCAAGTAGGTAATATTGTGGACTCTTTCTAACTCTATTCCATACGCTCTGATGTTCGTTGGTTGTAACTCCGTTTTGCTGACAACCATAAGTTTTGTCTTAGAAGTATTCAGTTTTAGCCCATATTCATCACATGTTTCGGTTACCCTGTTTATAAGTCGTTGCAGGTCTTCTTCATTGGAGGCAATAAGTACCGTGTTGTCTGCATATCTCAGATTGTTGACATTAATTCCGTTGATTTTAATGCCTGTATCTTCAACCAAGGCTTCTTTGAAAATAAGTTCGGAGTAGATATTAAAAAGTAGAGGCGATAGAATACATCCTTGTCTCACTCCTCGTCGTATTTCCACTGCTTCCGTCGTGTTGTGTCCAGCTCGTGTGTTTGCACATTCATGCCAATAAAAATTTTGATAATACGGAGGTCTCGGTCATCATTTCCCACCTGTTGCACGACACCTATAAGTTTGTCATGGTTTACTCGGTCAAAGGCCTTTTCGAAAAACGATATGGTTTACTCGGTCAAAGCCTTTTCGACAAAATGTGTTCAATTATAAAAAATTATATCATGAATACCAGGTGATCATCATCACCATTTCTGTGGTACATTACCACATGCATGCTTAAATACCAATACCAGTTTATATATTAAATTGTTTCATTAAAATCTTTTTATATAACTTTTAGCTTATTTGCAAAAGGTTATATGTCAGCAGTACAGGCATTTACCAAGTTGACCCATCCCAAGTAATGGCTAGCGTGTCTGGGATTCTGAGTAGAGGAGTACATCCGAGCCTTTTTCCCCCTAGAAGGAGGTCTTGCAAACGGATGTCCTCCTGTTATTCTGCATACCAACTAAAACCACCCTCTCTTACCTACCTGCCTACCTATTTCATATCTCCTAGCGTACTTCGAGAGCGGAATGGCCGCTGGAAGACTGATAAGATTTTCAGAGCACTCCTTTCTCTTATCTATCTTATTTCTGTCGCTGATCTGGCTATTGCTTATCTTCTTCTTCTTTTATCTTAATGACTGCACAGATGTAATTGCGCACACTATTTCATACCTCCTTATTTTCCGTCATCTTCTTGATCATCTTTTTCACAGTCACAGGGTTCATACCTGTTTCTCTAAGCATTTTGCGTTTCTCAACTGTCTATCTATTACACTCCAGCATTATGTGAGTAACAGTGTCAGAGTATTGCAGTACAGGTATTTGTTTCACTCTTTCTGCTATTTTTCCTTTGACCTTTCCCTTTTTTGGTTTTTTATTGCTGTAGTTAAGTGTTTTCTTCTCTCATAGAGCTGTCTGCTGTCTACTACAGAGGCACATAACCCATGACAGTTCACAAGGCTGCCACAGATACAGTCCTGTAGGCGCATGCTACCGTAACAGACTCGTTTCGTCCACTCGTATCATAAGCACCTTGTAGGGGGGTACCTCCATTGCTCCACTTCAGACTGGTGTCGGGTAAGGGACGACGGACTGCAAAACACCGTCTAGGGCCCTACTTCTTTCAAATTTGGGGCCTTCAATGTTAGGCATCACCCTGTTAATTGCAGCCGTACTCTTCGCTGCCTTCCGATCTACCACTGATATATACCCCCCCCCCATGTGACATATTGGTGTAACGTCAATCCTAGGTATTTGATGCATTTCTTTGTGGTTAGATCTGCCCCTGCATATTGGAATTCGATCCCTTGTCTTTTTTGTTTACCCTTCAGAATAATAGCTTCGGTATTCCCTGCCGCGTGTTCCAGTCCGTGATCTGTCATCTAGTCCTTCACGACGCTGCCAGTATGCCTTACACGAAATCGAAGATCACTTATTCCACGCTACTACCAGTACAGTAAGATAATCCGCAAAGCGAAGAGGGTTATACAACCTGTATTTGAAGTTCCTGACCCCGTCATATGCCAGGTTCCATAGCCTTGGCCCAAGACTGATCTCCATGGCACTCCAACCGTTACGTCAACAAGCGTGCCCTTCTCAACCAGGATCCCTCCCTCGAACAAATATTCCACCATATATCCCAAAAACAAGATAATAATATCATACAATAATATAACATTTTGAAGAGTTTTCCAAATATCACATATTAAGCCTCTTTTGAAAATACTTAATTTTTGACATACGACATTTTGCCATATTACCGACGATAAATTATTTGGCTGTAATTACGGTCAAGATAAATTTTTAATACCTTGTTTTTTTATTTTTATTCGTCTCTTCAGCGCGCGTGATATCTTATCCTACGTTATTTGACATTATTTAGTTAGAATTGTTTGCTGCTGCTTTCGTAGCTCATTGGCTTCAGTTTTATTAAGGCTTCAGATCAACTTTATGTAGATTTTTAGAAATTGTACATTCTTTATAGTATAAAAGATGTTTTCTTCTAGGAATATCGCATTTTATTTGATTATATCGCGTATTTTACGGACTTTAGAAGTTTTGAGTATATTTTACATCTACTGTTCTGTGCATTTTTTATAACTCCATAAATATTTTGTTAACAACAAAGTACAGTTTGAGTGGCTTCTTTAAAATTTGTCGCTATGTATTTATTAAAAGTAAAACTCATTGTCCACATTTTTCTTATTTTTTAAGTTCTTGTTACAATCTCCAATTCTCTATACTTCAAGAGATTATTATTGTGATTTGTTTTTTGCTTTAAATACTATGAGCGTACGTTTTTTAAAACATGTTACTTAATATATTTTTCTGGGTTGGATATTGTTAATTTAATAATATTTGGCAGAGAAAACATAATTCTGGTGTGATTGTTGACCGTGAATCATTTACCACTTTTTACCAATTTTTGTAACAAGTAGAGATAGGTAATTTCACTATTTTTTGTATGCCGTATACCTACTTAACACTTCTTTATACAAAGAAATATCTTTATTACGTAGACTATAAATTATATGGATAATAGAAAGAGAAGATAAAGGAAATAATACAATGTATGAAACTTACTGGTAAAACATCAATATCCTCCAAAAATCGTAAAGCAACAGATACCAACGCTTCTTGTGGCCATTCATGAAACCAGTTGACTTGTGTACAATTAATTAATGACGGAAACTTTCTGGCTCTAACTCGAAGAGTAGAACCTACTGGAGAGAAACAAAGTACCACTTTTAATTGTCTTCTTACACGATCTATGAAAAATTTCCAGCAATTTTCTCGTGTATCCAACATTCCAGCTCCTTTAACTTCATTACGAACGCCAGCTATGATATTTTCGATTTCATCATCTGGAAACATGTCTGGAATTTCTCCGGATGCTAGCATATCATTAATTAATACAAGAAACTGCTCATTGGGAACCTAGAACATACACAAACGATGAAAATGGAAATATCTGATAAGCACTAAACTTTTTTAAAAATTGTGACCATACAAATTTTGAAAATTTTATACGTCTTATTATTATTTTTTAAAATTTGTATAAATTTATATATTTCTTCAGAAGCAATAAAAAGACTAAGATATAAACGTAATAAAACAAAGTCTGTAAAATGTAAGTGAATTAATTATTTTTCCTAAATTGTTAAAAACATTTAGTATTCTTGAATTTGTTTTTATTCAATTTTATTACTCCCTACTTTTTTATACCTCCCTACTTATAATTTTAGAAAATCAACTAAAGCTACTTAAAAGAAATAATTCAGTCTCTTTCATTTGGGTAAAGAAATATGCTGGTATCTCGAGTAACACCAAAGTAGATTATTTTGCTAAAGAAGCGGCTTCAAAAGGATTAGAAATTAGTTGACTCAATAGAAGTGATTTAGTCTCGCTGCGTAAACAAAAATTAAAAGAAAACTGGGAAACTGAACGGAATGCTTTCTCTCGCAGAAGTAACCACCTTTATACAAAAATTCACCCTGTTTTACATACTGCGCCTTTTGCGGCAAAAAGTCATCCCAGTAGAAGAGTATATTCAACGTTTGTTAGATGTCCTATCGATCACACTGTGAAAGCCTATCTACATAGATTTAATTTAAGTGAAACAGAACTTTGTGAATATAATGATAACACTGACGATATCAATTATTGGATGTTCGGGTGCATATATAATGATGCTGCTATTAAATATCTGTTGGAAAATCTGATAAAAGACCAAATACCTTTTCCCCAGTGCCCGGCATAACTTAAATGTTCAGGGGGTGCTAAGAATCCCCGGGAGGAACAAAAACAAATACAAAACTAAAACAAACAATGACGTCAAAGTAGCGACCTGGAACGTCAGAAGCCTTTATGAGGCTGGAAAGCTAGCAATCGTGTGCCAAGAAATGAACAGATTGAATATAGATATTTTAGGTCTGACTGAAGTTAGATGGCCTAACTCAGGAACAACAAAAATTATGAACAAAACACTCTATTATTCAGGCAACAATGATCCAAAACATTTCAATGGAGTAGGTGTAATAATAAACGATGAATTGAGTAACGCAGTTTCAAACTTTATACCACTCTCTGACAGAGCAATGCTGTTGCAAATAAGGAGTTCTCCTTTTAATGTGAATATTATTCAGGTCTATGCACCAACCGCAGATAAGCCAGATGACATACTAGAAGAATGGTATGAAGATCTACAAAAGCTCATGAAACTGACAAAGAAAGAAGATATTAACATCGTCCTAGGAGATTTTAATGCTAAAATAGGAAGAGGGAAATTCCAAAATATCGTAGGAGAATACGGACTAGGAGAACGAAATGACAGAGGAGACAGACTATTAGAGTTTTGCCAGCAACACAATATGATAGCAACAAACACTTGGTTTAAGTTACCTCAACGTAGGTTATACACCTGGACTTCCCCGCTACACACAAAAGAAAGAATAATAAGAAATCAAATAGATTATGTTTTAATCAACCAACGATTTCGTAACTCCATTACAAGTACAAAAACATATCCTAGTGCTGATGCAAATTCCGACCACAACCCTGTAGTAGCAAATATTCGCACAAGAATTAAAGTAATAAAAAATGCAAAGCCGAAGAACAAACCTAATATGGAACTACTAAAAGATGTACAGATTAAAGGTAAAACCACTGTAAAACTAAATGAAAAACTCTCAGAAATAGACCGAACCCAAATAAATATCCAAAATATAAATACAACTTGGCAACAAATAAAATCCATCCTCGTCAATTCTACAAGGGAAGAAATTCCAAATACACGATTAATGGCAAAAAAAGACTGGATGACACCAGCTATTCTAAAGATGATAGACGAAAGGAGGAAATACAAAAATAAGAACACAAGCGATTACAAACGATTAAATACAGAAATACGAAGGAAAATAAAAGAATCAAAAGAGAAATGGCTCGAAGAAAAATGTAAAGAAATAGAAGAATTAGAACATAGACATGATTACTTTAATATTGTAACGACTATTTTGCTTACCACAGGGTAAGAATATGGGGGACAAGATTGGGCAAACAAAATAATCGAAACAAGTGCATACGACACTCAGTTGGTTGTTGGAGAGCTGGGTCGTGGATAAGTTGAAGATATTGGGGGTTGGATTGGGCAACTACAAAAAAAAGAAATAAAGGGGTACTTATACAAATCTCTTGGGACAAACAGAATGAAAATTAACGGAAACACCTCAAGAAATTTAATATAGGGCGCCACTTGAGGTGCCCAATTATACCTATTACAACCACTAGTTGTAACTAGGGAAATAATTGTATAACATCAAAAATATAGAAAAAAAATATCTTTTTCAAATAAAACTCAAAATAGATCAGAGAAACAAATTAAACATTTATTTTTGTCTCACCAAACAGTTTTCAAAAATACAGCTTATACAAAGGCATATTAAATAAAATTAGCTGTCAAATACAAATGAAAAAAACTTACATATCTGTTTACAAAAGGTTACAAAACTCTTCGAAACGGTTCTTAGTAAATAATTTAAAAAATAATTTATAAAAGAAAGCAAATTTTGTCTTTTTAAAAGAAAATGTCTATTTTTACTTTAAAAATTAATAACGTAAATGTTACCTCAGTTCACACATCTTAACTTAAACTTTTGAACAACTGGCTAACTTCTGCGGGGTATCTAACTGCACATCAACGGAAAGCTTTATTGGAAGCTGAAACTGGCACATCCAAATCAAAACTGCTCCAATATTATTCTACATGAGGTGAAAAGGGCATCTCGGGAAGGAACTGGATTTCTCAAAAAAAACGAAAAACAAACAGGAACTAAACTTGTTCACTGCTCAAACATCATAAATCTTCAGCCAAAATAAAAACAGTGGTTACTGGTCACTCTTTCAGAAACGACATATTACTTAGAGTGAAAATTCCACCATTTTGGCGAATGAATGCCGGCTTACAACATCACAATTAAACGACTTTTTTCTTCGAGAAGTTCTTCATCACTTCCTCTCAAATCTTTTACTCCATTCCCACATGTCTGCCCCGCTTGGAACTTAAATCTCGACTCCTTTTCAAATCAAATCTTGGTCTCAATTGTCCATGTCTGCCCCGTTTGGAACTCAAATCTCGACTTATTATCACATGTCTGCCCCGCTTGGAATCTAAATCTCGACTCCTCTTTGAGCAGTTCTTCATCACCTCCTCTCAAATCTTTTACTCCATTCTCACATGTCTGCCCTGTTTGGAACTCAAAACTCGACCCCCCTGCTTCGTTACATTTTACCAGAATCTAGCCAAAAATTTCCCTTCCGTCTTGCAGCTAACATGTCCCCCAAACTCAAGAACCAAAACAATATCCCCTCGCTTGTATCGACAAAAAAAACAAATTTTAAATGTTCCTTTATTGCCTAAACAAACAAATATTCTTTTTTTGACCCTCGACTAATAACGAAAAACAACTTTAATATTAGGGGAATTCATGGTTTATTGCGTTTTTAACGAAGAAAACAAATAAAACCTTTTTTTTATCAGGGGGCATCATAAATTTACATAATACAAATTAACAAAATACGTGCGTATTTTAAACTTGAGTTTTACCTGGCTTATAACAAAAGGTTCGATATTTGAATCTAAACACAGACAAAAAAACATCTATATTTACTTTTGAATCAGTAGAAATATACGCATTTAAAAATCTCGTCAAAAAAACTTGAAATATTATTTCGATTGTTTTCTTTGGTAAAAACAACAGGGACGTAACACAGAAATCTTTTCTATACACTTTAAATAAAAAAAACGCTACAATGCCCCTTCTTAAAAGAAAAAACTCGGATAATTCTTATCCAGTTTTTGATAAAGGCAAAACAACAAAAACCAAATCAGAAGATGACCTCTTAACTGAGTCGAAACTTCTTAATAATATCTTTTAGATGATGGCTAGCATGGGATTAAACAACAAAAACAAAGTTAGTTACAAAGAATGGGCTAGCGTGCCATCGATCGCCAGACTCTTTAAAGTCGAGTAGACTGAAATTTTTGACTCTACTTGAACTGTAGGTGACATGAGTTTCTATGCCTTGGGGGAAGCTAACCTTATGCCCTGCAGTGAACCTCGCTGACATTCACAGCAGTAACACAAGTGATTTGTCGGGCAGGCATAGCCATGACACCTCGTTGCCTAAACCAAGTGCTATACACAAATCCAAAATAAATTGCTCTACACTTAATATGTAGGCGTTACTATCTCCACTATACGCCTAGCGAGACAGGGAATTCGGCAACGGTTCCACAAAAAAAATTAGGATATAGACCCAAAATCTATATACCTACATATGACAAAATGTGATTCTCACATGTGTCTCCCAAATGGGTTACCTGAATTAAAATTATCAAAAGTGAAACAATATTCCGAAGGTATGAAATCAAATCAACATATAAACTCGAAAATACAGACATGGGATAGGATGAACTAATTACTTAAAGATGACATATTGTCCTCATCTGACACAAAAGGCTTTAAATCTTTAATGTGCCACTTACCAAGATCTAAACCATTTAAATCTGACAAACGATAAACCACTGGTGACAATTTTTCCTTGATAGTTGCTTCAATATACTTCGGTGCTAGTTTGGACATAAACTTGTTGACAGCACAAGACAAAACCTTATTTCTTTTCCAAACTCTATCACCCACTTGAAATTGGACTTCTCTTCTACGTAAGTTGTAACTTCTAGCGTTACGTTCATATCCTTTTCGAAGATTAGCCTTAACCTTTTCAAAAACTTTATCTATACCTTTGACTTCTGAAGCATACATGTTACGGTCACCTGGAATTATCTCGATATCTTGATTCTGTTGATCCTTATGATCAACACCATAATAGTTTCCACTTAAAGGAACATGACGGCCATAATTCAGGAAAGCTGGAGTATA